GGAGGGACCCCAGGGCAAGACTAACACCTGTAGTATGGGTCTTTCCCCTGACAACAGGGGAAGTCAACAGGGAGGAAGGCTGAGAGCTGGGGCATACCCACCCAGAAACCTTCTGAGATGGCCCCGGGCATTTTTGTTTTCTTCATAGAACATGTGAACAACCGTATTTAGTGAATGCTTTAATATTTTTATTCTGTCTATATGGTAACATCTATCAAGAGAACTTGACCTTGAAGTGGATCCAAGTAACTGATACTCTGGGACCTCCAGGGGGCGCTATGGCCCAACACACAGCCTGGCCAGGAGCCTTCTGCCTAATGCACCACCTTAGATCTGTTTTCTGCGGTGTTGCATCCCCTTTTGGAGAGAGAGAGAGAGAGAAAGAGAGAGAGTTCTGCTGGTTTTAAAAATATTGTTTGGGGGCGCCTGGGTGGCTCAGTCGGTTAAGCATCTGCCTTCGGCTCAGGTCATGATCTCAGGGTCCTGGGATGGAGCCCCACATCGAGCCCCTCATCCGGCTCCTTGCTTGGTGAGGAGCCTGTTTCTCCCTCTCCTTCTGCTGTTCCCCCTGCTTGTGCGCTCTCTCTTGCTCACTCTCTCTCTCTCTCTCAAATAAATAAATAATCTTTAAAATTCTGTTTTAAGGCCCAGGCCTCCAGGAAAGATGCCATGCTCCTCCGCATCACCTACGATGCTCCAGGTGCTAAAGGCTTCCACCCTGAAGCAAGTACAGCAAACCCACTCATTGAGCTCCACTGGCCTTTCCATATGCTGTCTTGGTCTCAGGCTCAGGCCCTTCTTCCGTGCTGGCCCCAGTACTTGCCCCTGCATCTCTAACAGCCCAGGCCACTCACTCTGGATGACACGGAGTGTTCACAAGTCTCTCACTGCCACACAAAACATAAAAACACACCCGGAGTTCCAAGAAACAGATTTGCTGGATCTAAAGCAGAGATACTTAGCTCCAACCACAAGGATTGACTCAGAAGTTGCTCCCTGGCCTTCTACCTGCTGGCCCAATTGATGCCCTCATCACCCAGAGGGCTTGCCCCCTCCTGGTTCAGTGGCTCTAACCCAGAAAGCCTTTCTCTGGGGCTGCAGGCCCTAGGAAGCCACAAACACCATCCTGGTTGGTTTCTTTCTAGTTCATGTGGTTAATATAGAATAGAAACCCAGACAAGTCAGGAGCCCCTCCAAACTGGCCTTATTAGCTCAGTGCCACTAAGTCCCCTTTCTGCCCCAGGTTAACCCCGAGCAACTAGACCCCAAGTCTACTTGGGGAAGAGTCTTCTAGAACCACGAAGATCTGCAACGGCGAAGCCCTTCCACCATCATGAAAAGGAATGTGGTCCCTGCAGCCTCCCGGAGAAGAAAGGTGGGGCGGTAGTGAGGGCACTGCCCCTGGAGGGACGAGCCAGATGAAAGGCCCGGTGGTGGCAGGGGCAACCTGTGTTTGGGAAAGAGTAAGATCTTCGGCGTCGGGCAAGGGACTCACACAGAAAGAGAATGGAGGGAAGACTGGCAAGAGACATGGGGATCAGGCATCAAAGGGCTTAGACCGTCCCTAAACTGAGTCCCTAGATGTCTACTTGAGGAGCCACTAGAGACATTTGGAAGTTTCTAAGCAAGTGACAGCAGGAGGATGGAGGGTGATTGGGGCGGGCAGCTGGGGACAGGGAGATAGTATCGGAGATGAACTCCTGGCCCCAAGCCTGATGGGCATCAGGAGAAGGTGCCATGGACAGACAAGGGGGGGGGGGCGGGCAGGAGGAAGAGCTAGTTTGCAGAGACCAGGCAGCCTCATTCCTGGCCCGGGGACAGGGACCCTCCATGCAGGCAGGGGCTCCCCTCGTCCCCGAGAGTCGAGGCCAGCTCTGTGCTCACCAGCGGATGTCCGGGACCGGCAGAAGCAAGATGGAGGCCCACACTAGGAGATCGTGCCCCTGGGACAGCCTCTGAGGCCGTGGACGAGCATGAGCTCTCTGAGCGGAGAAGGGAGACGAAAGCAAGGCCCAGCAGCCTGGGGCACTCACAGGGACAAGAGAGGCAGAGAGCTCTAGTCCTCAGGATGGCTCTCCCTGGGGTGTGTGTGTGGGAGGAGGAGGGTTTGGAGAGCCCAGGGCTGCAGGGAGTCAGAGGGCCTGAGGCCTGAGCGCAGGGCACACAGTGGCAGAGAGCTGGAAGGGAGCCAGACCACTAGGGCTTCGAGAGCGGCTTGCCGGGGGCTGGCGAGGCATCCTTGGTGGAGTGCCCCTGGAGACTCTCAGGAACAGGAGGGGCACATGTTGGAGGAGGAGGCAGGGACAAGGGAAGGGTTCTTCTAAGAATGGGGAGGTCTGCGCCAAAGAAAGGAGGACCAAGATGCGAACAGAGCAGATGGGGCAACATCAGGAGGGGCAGAAGATGGGACTTAGTCAAGAAATCCCTGAGTCCACATGTTTATTGGGGGTGCACCGAGAGAACAGAATGGGCGATGAGACTGAGAATGGATGGAAACCACGAACGGCTGAGAGAGACAGTGGGATCTTGCTGCCATTCCCCGGACCCTCTCCATTAAGAGGTACGCTGTTTGCTGGAAATTTCGAGAGCCAGAGGTAGGTTTGAAGGTTGTAGAGTGGGGTGAAGCAAGTATGGAATGCTTGGCTGGGGGGGTTCTCTAAAGCAACGTTTCTCCAATGTAATGTGTACCTGGGATCTTGTTAAAAGGTAGGTTCTAATCCAGCAGGCCTGGGCAGAGCCTAAGAAGCTGCATTTCTAACAAGCTCCCACATTCTGGGAGCAGTGTTGCTGCTGCTGGTCAGGGACCACAGGGGGAGGAGCAAGGATTTAGAGTCAGATGAGGAGATGGAGAAAGAGACTGGCAGAAGAATTCACCTTAACGAGAGACCTACCTTTGATAATCTCACCTGGGGCAAAAGCTGACACTTGGAGAAGTCTGGGTGGGAGCCACAGGCCCTGCACTGCAGGTGATGGGAAGGGGGACATGGAGAAGGAGGGGTGGCAAAGAGGGAAGAAGTCAAGAGAGAAGGCAGGGGAGCCTCTGAGGTGATAGGAAGCCCAGCGGTGCCCCTGGGACCCCTCATCTAGGTCAACGTGGGGTGGACCACCAACTGCACACTTGGAGGTCCCCCAACAGAGGCTGGGAGTCGGCTGGGGCAGGAAAGGAGTATTCCATGGGTATCTGAGAGTGCAAGAAGCAGGCAGGGCAGGCCACCCCCGTGCTGTTCTGCAGGAAGGTACTGGACTCGTTCTGGGCTTGTTCAAAGCTTGGCCAGGACACATCAAGCCAGACGGTGAGGTCAGGGGTAGAAATGGCTCTGCCCCTAGGGACAAGGGTGAGATGATTTCTGTGCCAGAAACTAAAAAAAAAAAAAAAAAAGGAATGAAATCTGCAAATGAAGGTGCTGGGGAGAAAGAGGAGGTGCTTTGGGCTCCGAGTCCTACCACTTGAGCCCTAAGTGTCCAACTCGCAATCAGAAATCAAGAGGTTTCGGAAAGGCGCCGTCTGGAAACGAAAATGCCTTAGGTTTAGGCAACGCAGGGAAGGGGCCGAGGGATGGGGTGTGCAGGGACGCCGCTCAGCTGTCTGGGGCCCAGTCTAAGAGAGAGAGGGAGCTTCGAGTCCTAGGCTGAGGTTAAACCGAGGTCAGGTTCACCAGGGGAAATGCAAGCAGGACCGCAGGGGCGAGCAAAGAACCTCAAGAGTAAAAGCTTGGAGGCGTCAAAATGAGCAGCAAGCGCAGGAACAGGGTGTCCGCGTGGGCAGTACGGCGGGTACTTGGAGAGGGGGGTGAGGCCAGAAGCCCAAGCTCCGTCCCGCGGCGACCCGGAGGCGGCGGAGGTTTCTGAGCGCGGCGTGGCGCGCTTCCCCGGCTTTGGCGCGGTTCCCTCGCCGCGCAGCCCCCTGCCCGGGCCTCCCAGGGCCCGCGGGTCCCTCCTGTTCCTCCCCGCGGCCTCCGCCAGGCCGCAGCCCCCAGCCCCGGCGACCGACTCGCCAGGATCCGCCCCGCCGCGGCGGCCCGGGCCCAGCCGCTCCTCCCCCGATGATGTCACGTCCCCGGCCGCCCCTCGGCCGGCCGCGCCGCCCCGCCCCCGCCTCCCCTGGCCCCCAGTCCCCTGGGCCCGCCCGCTCCCGCCATCCCTCCTCCCGCCCGCGCTCCCTCCCTTCGACTCCCGCTCCCCCGGGAGCGGCGGCGGCGGCGGCGGCGGCGGGATGGCCCGGGCCCGCGGCCAGGCCCCGGGGAGCGGCGGCCGGCGGCGGCCGCGGCGGGGCGGCGCGGGAACCGGGCCCCGGGGGGAGTCGGCCGGGTTGCTGCTGCTGCTGCTCCAGGTGCTGCCGCCCGGGGCTGCGGCAGGGCCGGGGCGGCGGGGCACGCGGGGCTCTGGCGGCGGCGGCGTCTGCTGGCCCGGCGCTGCCCCTGCCTTTCCCCGGGACGCGCGGCTGCTGCTGCTCCTGCCGCCGCTGCCGCCGCCGCCGCCGCCGCCGCCGAGCTCCGCGCCCGCAGCCTCCGCCTCCCGGATGGTAATCAGCGCCCCGCGCCGGCGCCGCGGGCGGGCGGGAGGTGGGGGGGGGCGAGGGGGAAAGGGCGGGCAGCCCCGCGCCCCCGCCTCGCCGGAGGCAGCTCCCGGGGCGCTCGGGCCGCCCCCCCTCCGACGACCGCGGCCCTGGGCAGCCGCCAGAGCGCGCCTCTGGGGCGCCTCCGCGCCGACCGGGTGCCGGCTCCGCTCCCGCGCTCCCCGCCGGCGCTCAGGCCGCGGGGGAATCCCTCCATCTCCCCGCCCCGCGCCCCGGGAGGGGAGGGGACAGCGCCGGCGCTCGCAGACCCGCTTTCTCCGAGGGAGCGCCCGAGAGGCGAGCGCGCACTGAGACGCGGGGACCCGGCGCTGCGCTGCGCTCCTGGAGGCGCCCGCTGCCGTCGGGTCTGACTGAGCCCAGGCGCCCGCAGCCTCGGCGGGACCGCATTCCCGGCGGCGGGGGCGCCTACCGACCGCGCGCCCTTATGTTCCCCGCGCAGGACTCTCTGCCCCGCGGCGGGCTGAACCTGAAGGAGGAGCCGCTGCTGCCCGCGGGCTTGGGCTCGGTGCGCTCCTGGATGCAGGGCGCGGGCATCCTGGACGCCAGCACCGCGGCGCAGAGGTAAGCGCTCGGACGCGACCCGGAGCGCTCGGGTTGGACGGCTCCGCGCCGCCTTCGCTCAGCCTGCCGAGCTGCTGGGGCGAGGGGTGGGGGGAAGCCCTAACTCTGGACGGTCCCGGCAGGCTCTCCCGCCCACCCTTGCCCCGAGCGCCTCTGCTTCCTCCTGAGGCTATGGGGCGGGCCGGGGCGGGGCTTCTGCCACCTCTGCCGCGGTCCCAGCTCTGATTTCTGATTTCCGACTGTCGCTCGGGGGGCCGGCGGTCCAGGGCTCTAGAGTAGAAAGTATCCCCGCTGTCCACAGTCCCTGAGCCGTGACCCACAGCCACCGGCCGTCAAGTAACAGACAACCCCTCCTTCGTGGGCAGTCCCAGAGCCTCTCCTTGTCCAATTCCGAGGCTGTCTGCCAGGAAAGGCACAAAACCCAGCCCCCTTTCTGCTTTCCCACGCCCCTCGGAGTTGAAGGAGGGGTGCGTGTGGAGCCAGAGAAGAGGCTGGGGGCTGAAGAGTGGGGAACAGGCGAGCTGGACAGTCGCCTTGGCTGGAACGATTGGGGGCTGGGGCTGGGCGCTCAGGCCCCGCCTCTCCTCAGAGTGGTTTCCTGGCGGGCCCTGGGGGAGGCAGAAGGGTCCCTGGGAACCCAGCATCTATGCCGACGCCTTTGCAGGAGTCTGGGCACGGGGCCTGGGTAGGGAATGGACTCCTGGGTTTGGAGAGGAAGTTTAAAGGGTTTGTTGACCTGCCCCCACAACACCTGACCACGGACTTTTTATGCCCCTACTTGTGAGTGGTGCGGTGGGAGGGGGCGTGTTGAGAAGGGGGGGTGTTAGATATCCTACTCGAGTTCTCAGTGGTTAGGACTAAGGAGGTGCTGCCTCTGCAGACCCTTGGGGCACGTGGGAGCTGGGCTGCCGCAAGGTCTCAGCAGGTGCTCGACCGGCAGCCTGAAGGGATGCTGTAGGAGAGTTGCCAAGGCCCACGAGGCCTGGCACACCGGCCCAACATTCCTATCCCTGGGCCTGTTCCGCTGACACCGCTCATAGTCCAAGCCCAGCCTCGCCCTTTAACAGACCCACACCTTGTTTCCTGTGGAACCAAACCTGTGTTTCTGCACTCCTGTCCTTTGCTGACTGTTGGCAGGGAGTGCTGGGGGGCTCTCCCTGGAGCTCATCTCTTCAAGAGAAGAGCGTCTTGCCATGCATTAATTTACATAGTTTTACTCATGATATAACTATATTCCAGAAAAATTGGTAAGTAGAAAACAAAATTCCACCTTTCTGATACAACTACCGTCAACATTTTAGAGTATTTCCTTCCCATCTTTTTGCACATTCACATGCTTTTTTCCTGGGCTGTGCATACAATTCTGTATCCTGCCGGGTTCTCTGTTGGTTCTGTTTTTTTATTTAATTTGAGACGATCTGTTCCTTAACGGGGGCTCCATCTTTTTCTCCACCACCAGCTGTGGTGAGAGCTCCTCGTAAGAGTGGGTGAAGAGTGCCAGGGGAGCCCCTGGGGCTTAGGGTTCTTATTTCTCTCTGACCGGACCCTCTGTCCCTGTGTCAAGCCAGCAGGTTTAATGAGGGGGAAGCAGATGCGAAGGAGGTGGTGCTCTTGTAGCCTCTGTGGGTGCAGAAGTGTGGGGATGGGGCCCTTTCCCGGAGGATCTGACCAACAGCAGTGTTGTCTGCACGTGAGGGGGGCGGTTCTTGAGTGGCACTGAGGTGTCCCATCTGAGTCCTGGGGACCACATCGCTGGGACTCAGAGGCTTCCCCAGTTGGAAGAGGGACATTTTTTTTTCAGGACTGGGCTCCATATTTGCAAGTCCAGAGACTTCTGTGCCTCAGGACACAGATTGGGAGCACAACCCCGCCCCATTTGGTTGACTCTGGACCACCTCCTTCCATGGGAGAGCAGGCTAATCCTTTCTCCTCATTCTTCCCAAAGTGGCCCATCATCTCTTCTATTTGTGTCTTGATCCCCAGTCAGTCGGTTAGTCAGTCCTCGGCTCAGGTCTTTCCATCCTGAAACACCAGCAACAAACCTTCCTTTCCCCATCCCCTACCTCCCTCTTCAACCTCTGCCTGCTTTCTCTCCCTCTTACCTCTGGGAAACTTGCCCAGGAGCATTCTTCCCCAAGCCTGCTTGGGATCTGACAGTTGTCTTTGATGCCTTGCCCCAAAGCCCCCTGACTGTCAAGGCTCCTAGATGTTTCTTCATGTCCGAGGTCACCTTTTAACAATAGCTCACCCTTGCCCTCCACCTCTTTCCTCCCTGGCTTGAAGGTTAACCTGCCCCCGTTTACCACCGCAGCCCCCTATCCCACTGCCCCAGCCCCAGTCTCTCACCTCTCCCCTGAAACCATCTGCCATCCCCGGGGTGGGGGGGGGGGGCCAGAGCAATATTTCCAAAGAACTCTTCTCTGATCATGTCCTTCTCCGATTAAAAACTTCAGTCACCCCCACTTCCTCCCAGGTATTCAGCCCTCAGGGCTCCCCACCATCTAACCCCAAACTCCCTTCCAGCTTCCAGCCCTTGGCATGATACTTGGCATCCAACGGTGCCTCTTGAAACAGTTCCCCTGGCCCCAGCGCCCACATACCCACTGAATAAAGTCTTCCAGTCTCGGGGACCCACTGCACCCCAGCACTTTCTCTATGTGCGCCCTCCCACCGGACCTCAGGAACAGTTCTCAGTGCTGCCTAAGGATGCGGGCCACAGGCCAGAGTCAGCGGTGCCCCACCAGCCCGTGCCTTCCTTTAGGGCAAGGATGGTGGCTTACTGTCCTTGTGTCCACAGCACCAGGACAGGCTGGAGCAGTCAGCAGGGGGGCAACGAGTATCTGCTGAAGGAAACAGGGGTGCATGTTAGAAAGTTCCCAGATCCCTTTCTGTTGGGCTCCCCTCCCCATGTTGGTGGTCTCCAGCATCTACCTGACTCCAGAAACCAGATACTGGGCTGCTGCCGCTTCCCAGCTTTATGCCGCCAAGTCTTACAGAAGGTGGAGATGGAGGAGAAGGCCCAGAACCTGCCAAGATCAGTGAGGGAGGCTCTGCCAACAGGAAGGAAAGTTCTGAGCAAAAGAAGGGTAGGGAAAGAGAGGGGTTCCATGCCCTTGCCCTGGAGGCAAGAGGGGAGGGCAGGGGAGGGAAGTCTGGCAGGATCTTCCCAGTGGGGAGCTCTGCACAAGGACCCCTAGCCAGTGCTGCCACTTCATCTCCGAGTTGCAGACGCCAGCCCCAGCCCGTGTTCCCCAGACTGCCCTGCAGACTGCGTCCTCCTGCTGGGGTGCTCAGCCCAGAAGCCGCTCTCCTCTCCTGGTGGGATTCCCAGCCCAGGGAGACCCCTGCAGGACCCAAGCCCACCCTCCCCCTCGAGCGGGTCCCAGCACACAAGCAGGCCCTGAGAAAGCCAGCTGGACTGCCTTTCCTGTAAGCAGCTGCACGCTAGCCTCCCTGCTAGGAAATGCTTTTGTTTGCTTTAATAATTAATAGCCGCTCCTCAGCCTGGGACCTGGCAGGCAGGCCTGTGGGTGGGTGGCGACGGGGTGGGCAGAGAGAAGCAGGGTGGGCAGCCTTTAGGTGGAATGGAGGGCAAGATGAAGGGTGGAAGCCCTGGCTAGTGAGATCCCCCCCATTGGGGGACCTCGGTGGCTGAGACAACTTCCTGTGGCAGGTGAGCCCACCCACCGCCACCGCCGCTGCTGGGCAACAGGAGTAGGGGGTATAAAGCAGCCCCAAAGCCTTCCCTCCCACAGGCCCCTCTGGACGCAGCTTCAGAGCCTCCAGGTCCTCCCTCTGTCCACATTGTCAAGGTGGGTGTGCCCCAGTGGGCTGCTACTTTTATCTTCCCGGTCTGTGGCACAGCTAGGCTCTGGGCCTGTTGGGCTGCGCAGGGCTAGGCCAACAGATCTTGGCTGGGGCCAGGAATGCCAGGCCCAATTTGATGGGCCAATCAGCAGTCCCAGGGGCCCAGGGGAGGCGTGCAGGGAGCAGGACCAGTGGGACGCTTGGAGGAAGAGAAGACACAGAGAAAAGGGAGACCTATGTAGTGGGCCAGGATGGGGGAAAGAAGGGCTGCAATTCGCAGAGATTTTAGGGAAAGCTGAGACAAGGGATGAGACTCAGGAGACATATGCTTTTTGTTCCTTCTACCTCCTGGGGGAGCCTCCCCCCATTGCGGACGACCTTAGGGCTTGTCCCCATTTCCCCAGCACCCCAGATTCCAAGGTGCATCAGGCCCAAGGCCAAGGCACTGCTCAGAACCTTGGGCTATCAAGGCGGGCAAGAGTTAGGATTCGGTGGGGAGCAGGGGGATGCAGAAGGTCCAAAGATGCCCCTGGGGGGCGGCCAAACTCCAGCCTGGGCCACCTGTCCTCTGAGGGGTTTGGGATGCTCGTTTTAAATTGCTCTTATTTATCATGAGCGTGTAGTCAGGGATGTAAGGAGCCCCAACTGACCTCCTGAGGACAGAGCTGAGATGGTGCGGTGCTCTCTGTGCTAGAAAGCCGTGGCAGGGGCCAGCAGCTGCCTCGAGAAGGGCCCTGGTGGATCCTGCCCTGCCCTGGGAAGGAGCATCTCCAGGGACCGCTGTGGCCTCTGCAATAGCAGCCAGACAACTCTGCAGCCCCCAGCATGTCCCCACACGCGTCCCCCAAGCACAGGCCACCTGAATGGCCCCAGCCGGGAAGGTCAGGTTGTCCTTGGTGTCAACTTCAACCTGGATTCCCAGCACAGTACTCAGGAAGCCCATGCACATCCATGCTTGCGACAAAGCAGGTGTCCTCAGACCACAAAGTAGATGCGCACACCAAAGCCCTTCTGCCACCGTCGCCTTTAACTTAGGGGCTATTCCAGGACCGAAGATGGGAATGGGGGTGAGCAGGCCATGGTAGAAATAAGAAAACGAGCGCTTTCTCCTCCCATGTCTGGGTTCTTTAGTACAAGAGCAAATGCCCCACCACCTCAGCACACTCCAGAGTTGATAGGAAACTGTTCTGAAC